ATGAAATTCCTAAACCAACATTTAAAAGGCATCTTTTGAAACAAGTTAAACGTGGCGAAAAAGTCTCATTATCAAGTAAAAGACGAGTCAACGGAAGACAACCTGCACTTCCTGAAGAGATGGAGCAGGAGCTGGTGTCTCATATTTTAAAATTTGAAGAACTGCTTTTTGGACTTACCATTAGAGATGTACGCAAGCTAGCTTATGACATAGTGGCAGCCAATCCACATATTCCGAATCTTTTTAATAAACAGAAAAAAACTGCTGGTAAAAAATGGTACTATTCTTTTATGGCCAGGCACAACAACCTTACTTTACGCCAACCAGAAAACATTTCGATGGCACGCTGTAAAGGATTTAACAAGAGCAATGTCTATGAATTTTTTGATGTACTGGAAAAAAATGTTGACGAAAATGAAATTGACGCTTTTCACATTTATAATGTCGACGAATCAGGTTTTTCTACAGTACAAAAAAAGTCACCTAAAGTTTTGGCCCTAAAAGGAAAACATCAAGTTGGTTTTGTTGCAAGTGGCGAACGGGGCATCAATACAACACTAGTATGTTGTTGCAATGCGGCAGGCACCTATGTCCCCCCCATGTTTATATTTAAAAGACAACGTATGCACGCAGCACTTAAGAATGGAGCTTTTCCTGGTAGCATTGTAGCATCCAGTGAAAGTGGCTACATAAATACAGAATTATTTGTTGAATGGCTAAAACATTTTATTAAATTTGTTAAACCAAGTCACAATGAAAAATGCATACTTTTGCTAGATGGACACACCACCCATTCTAAAAACCTGGAAGCTATAAAATTAGCTAGGAAGAATGGCATTATATTACTGCAACTTCCGGGGCACACGACGCATAGATTGCAGCCTTTGGACGTTGGAGTCTTCAAATCTGTCGAAGCAAGCTACATGCAGGTAATGGCAACTTGGCTTCGTACAAATGTTGGTCAAAGGGTGACACAGTTTGAAGTAGCGGCTTTGCTAACAGAAGCTTACACAAATTCTGCAACAATAAGTAATGCGGTAAATGGATTTAAAGCTTCGGGGATATGGCCAGTAAATCGAAAAATTTTTACTGAAGCAGATTTTGTGGCTAGTGAAAATTTATTGGTACCAGAAAATATACCAGAAATTGTTGAACAAGAAAACGATATAACTTCTATTGAAGATAAAGATATACCGGCATGTAATCAACCTATTCTTATCCAGGAAGTTGCGATTCCATCAACAAGTGGATTGACTCAACAAGAAAAAATTCGCCTTAACAAACAAAGCAAGACTGTTTCTATTGAACAAATTAGTCCACTACCAAAAGTCTGTAAAAAAATGGGTGAAAGAGCCCAAAAAGGAGCACAAAAAGTGGCAGTGCTAACGGAGAGCCCTTATAAAAACGCGCTGGAGGAGAAATACGCTATAAAGGCAAAAAAGGAAGATAGAAAAAGAGCAAAGGAGATTTCCAAAAAGGGTATATTTCAGGAAGAAAAGTCAAAACAAAAAACTAAAACAACTAAGCCATCAAAGAAAAATGAGGTATTAATCGAAATTAATGCGGATGAATGGTTTTGCGTAATATGCCAGGAGGGTATAATCGAAGATATGATACAGTGTACCAAGTGTGGAGAATGGGCACACGAAATGTGTGCCGACTTGACACGTCCTAAGAGCGACTACGTGTGCGACCTTTGTTTTTCAATTTGAATTTTTTTTAAGTTCTCACTTGTAGTAGATTTGTTTTTAATGACATTTGTTTTGTTTAAATTTTATTTTTAAGTAGATTTTTTTAAAATACAGTTTGTTTTGTTTTAAAACACTTAAATTTATGTGTTTTTTTGTTTATATGAGAACAACACACTGCACTTATTTAATATACCACAAAAGAGCACTGTGGTACGATTTAGGAACCCACTAGTACGATTTAGGCAACCAGTTTCCCAAATCGTACCGTTTGCAACCTCTTACAGAAATAACTGTTTTTTAAAAGTTAATTAAAAAATTACATTTTAAAAATTGCAATTATGTGTCCAAAGGACTGATCCATTGTTTTAAACTAAAAATTATTTATTTCATTTAAAAGTTTGTAAGAAAAAAAATAAAAACCACAAAGTGGTACGATTTTGGCGACTTTACCCTAAAAATAGAAATTGGAGTGGTAATGCCATTTTTGCACACTTATCTTGTTATAATTTGAAGCTGCCACTTCATAAAATAACGAATGTTTCCTGTTTCCGACTGCCAACTAAATTGCGGAACATTTTTGCAGTGTCAATATATTTTGGCTTTAGATATTTTCTTTTTTTTTTAAATTGTACTATGTTCCACATCAAAAAGTTTCACCTTGACATTTGAATACAAATAATTACTTAAGGCTCTCTAACTGTCAGTTTAAGGTTCATTTAGTCTTTTTTTTTAAGTAATACCTACAATATTTTATGTATAAAGGTATTAATTTAAAACACAAAATATACATAATATACTCCCACCTTTAAAACGCCCATTATCGAACATGTTTCCTTAACACTAAGTGACCTTTTAAATACACATTGACAAGTTGTGGCTTTATGGCGTTTTAGTCACGGGCTGAAGTTAGCAATAGGTTTTTAGTCACGGGCTAGTTAGTTTTAAGTTAGTTGACAGTTGTCAAATGTCATTCAATCGTTAAAATAAAGTGCCTTTCTTATAAAATAATACTAAATGTGAAAGTTATTTTATTATCCCAATACAAAAATTCAAAATTATTAAATGGTTTCTCAACGCCAATATTTGAAAAGTTTATATGAACATTGTACTGACCTTTTAATTTCGCCGGCAGTAAACTATAACTTAAATTCGGGCACGGACACCACTGTAAAGTGCTCATAAAACGTCTTCTTTACTTTCACTGTGAAAAACTGTCCATTTTCAAGGAATACATCTCGTCGTCTTAATGCAGAACTAGCGTATGTCCAAATCTTCCAGTTTTCGGTTTATAGCGGGAATATATAGTTAATAGTGAACTTCATTACATGCAGAAGTATTGTAAGTCCAAACGATGGGCTTCCCCCACTTTTTTATTTCTCTAAAATATGTTGTAAACAAGCTTTTAACTATTAACTATATATTCCCGCTATAAACCGAAAAGTGGAAGATTTGGACATACACTAGTTCTGCATTAAGATTCTGTGTTTATAAAATATAAAAATTTGACATTTGACGGTGACACACAGATTCCTCTATTGTTTCATAGATGGCGCTCTACAAATATTTGATTTAAATCATTTTAAGTCTTATTATCTTAAAATTTAAGATAATAATAAGTATTTGTCGTAGAAAAAGTAAAGTATGCACCTCGTTTATAAACTTTTCTATACACTCATTAATTTAAATTAAATTCGTGTATAAAGTGGCGTTTATTAAACTTGATACATAATATACTATATTCTACTCCTATTGTATAATATTGATTCCATGAACAATGTAAACATTATAAATTCCCTACCTAACAGCGGGAATAATAAACTCTTTATTCACGTTATTAGTAAAAAGTGAGGTTAACTATTTGACAGATGTCAGATTTTATTTAATTATTTTTAAAAAGTATTTAATTATCTACTTGTTGTAGATAAAGTATAGTATTACACTCGAGATTATGCGCATTATTCAGTAGGATGATTTAAGTCTTTTGTCTACTGAATACCTTATTGGATCCTTTGGCAAAACATGAAAATGCAACGATTTAGTTCTTGAATTTTATTTACAATAATTGAAAACACAATATTTCACCATAATCACTTAGATGACATAGACACACTAACGTAACTATATAAGTATATAAGCGTTGAGTTTCTTAATCAATGATATAAGGAATAATAAATCGAAATCAAGTACTAAACCAAAGTTTTTTTAGTTTTTACTTGCTACGCGAAAGACAAATAACGTGAGCGATTTAGCTCTGCAATTGAACAAAATTTGTTTTGTAAAAAAATTACTTATTTATTTAAAAATGATGTGCAGTTCGTATGCTTTAAATGTATTATTGAACATTCTTGAATTCAAACAATGCTATCGAACACCACCAGATGGCGCGCGTTGCGAAAACCCGATGCTTCTTTAACGTATAGCTGTTTATTTGTGTTTTTCCTGGGTTAAATGAAAAGCAGCTAACCGAAGGTATTAAGGTATTAAAAAATATATTTCTGTAATGATGAATGTGAACAACCAAATCATAAATTACATAAATTAAAAACATGTGAATAAAATACAGCCCGTTCAGATTAAAACCGAATATATCTATATATATATATATGGGGCGTGGCCTCGCCTCCCTCCAACGCGCGACACAGTAGCTAAGCAAATAGCCTGCATCGCTAATGAGATTTTTTGCATTATTATCATTTAATTTTTTAAGTCCTTACCTGCTCGACCTTTCGTCATGTCGTTTATCACACAAGCTACTGTGACGCGTAGTGTTCGCGATAGTGGGAAAAAATCAATATCGATAGTTTCGATGTTGATAGTTTCAAATATCGAAACTATCGATAGTTTTGAGGTTGAGGTTATGTTATGTTATTTTCTTCTGAGATTTATGGCCGTTTCATAGAAATGGAAGGATAGCGATGTTTTTTTATGCAGTCGTGCACACCGAGTGTATTTTCTGCCTGTTTTAAAAGTATGGTCTGAAAAAGGATAAGAAGTGTTTGCTTTGCTCGGTAACAGTGTGCTGCAAGGGAGGAACAACTCATAACCGTGAAATATCGATAGTCGCAGTGGCAACTATCGATACTTTCGATAGTGCTGTACGATTGTCTAACATCGATACTATCGATAAATTATCGATAATATCAACAACCCTAGTGACCTCACTGACGCGCGTTGGAGGGAGGCGAGGCCACGCCCCATATATATATATATATATATATATATATATATAGATATATTCGGTTTTACTCTGAACGGGCTGTATGTATAAATGCATTATTAAACAACTTAACACATTTTTTTTGTTTCCAGTTAACGTACTCGTGACGATTGGGCGTGGGCAATCCCACCCGGAGGGGCAGAGATGCGCGCGGGGGAGGAGTACTCGGAACTGGCGGAGCTGGGCGGCGGCGGCGGCGGTCCACCGTACGTGGGCGGCGGCCGATACGGCGGCAGAGGTGGCGGCATCGGCGGCGGGTCCTGGGCCCGTTCCCAGGCCCACACGGCCGCCGAGGCGGAGGACGTACTGGGACCGGACGGCAGCCCCAGGGGGGGACACAGCCGGGGCAGGTCGGGGTTGTATTACTCGCCGCCCGGGACGTCGTACACGATCGTGGAAAGGCCCTCTTCGGTTATGCACCATCATTCGCCCAGAGAATACAGTACGCATTACAATTCGCTCTCAAGTCCAAGAGGTAAGTTTATTAGGTTACAACATTTGCATAATAATAGTCTTAATCACAATCATAATTATAAAATTTGAACAAACGTTTATAGACCAGGTTCGATAATTTTTGAAACCAAAAAAAATAACAGTAGGATGAAACCCATTGGAAAAGAAGAAGAATAAAATAAAAATAAAAGGAAAAATAAATTACGGGCGATCTGACTTCGGGAAGTGGGAGGGGGGGTTTTAAGGGTAAAAAATGGTTTATCTCGATTTCCGGCAAAACTACAAGTCCTATGGAAAAAAGTTAAATGGCAAAGTTGTAGGTAATAAAAGGATCTACAACTTTTGTAATTACAATTTTTTTACATAACCTCAAAATTTATGTGAAAATTCAAAAAACCAAGTTTTTGGTTTTTTATTTTTATCTTTTTCAAAAAAATTTTTTTTTTCACGAAATTTTGTGAAAACTTACCTTTTTATGTCCCAAATACACTGTAATTTATTTGATTTGAAATATTTATTATTTCGCCTTATTTTGACTTAATATCAAAAAAGCACTCTAATTTTCAATCGAAAATTCTCGCGTCAAAATATCAGCTTTTTTTTTAAAAGTCGGTGTGCTTTTTGTTAGTTGAAATCTCTACTTTCTGATGGTGTAAAAAAATATACATTACTATGGTAAATGTTCTCAGAAAATGCAAAAAATATTATAATGAATTATAATAAAGTTTACCTTTTATTTTTAGCTTTTAAAAAAAGGCTAACTTTTTAACTTTTTTTTGTATAAGTAAAAAAAGTTATAAATGGACCCATTAAAAAGAGCATAAAATATTATACACCCTGAAAATTTGGTAAAAAATAAATAAGTTATAAAAAAGTATAAGTAATTTAAAAATGCTATTTTTAAAGAGTTTTTGCAATTTTCTTAGGAAACGGGAGATTTTGCAGATATATATATCGCTATAACTTTCTTATTATTTATACAATTTTTGCCAAATTTTCAGGGTTTGTATAATATTTTATGTTCTTTTTAATGGGCCCATTTATAACTTTTTTTTACTCATGCAAAAAAAAGTTAAAAAGTTAGCCTTTTTTTAAAAGCTAAATATAAAAGGTAAACTTTTTAAAAATAAAAATCGCTTCGAGGGGTATATGCCAAAATAAGCTGAATTTTTCATAACTTCTAATAATTTTGAGATAGTATTCACGAAAAAAATTTCTGTATAAATTATGAAGTGTCCGAACATTATGTGGTTAGGGCTCGTACAATTTCATCAAAAAAAATATGATTGTTTCAATTTTTTTAGTTAAAAAGTTTATTTATTAAATTCTAATGACATTTATGTCAGAAAATCTCATAAAATATAAAAATACATGTAAATCATACTATTGAATTTAGATACTTCATTCTGATTACGTTATTCATTATAATATTTTTTGTATTTTCTGAGAACATTTACCATAGTAATGTATATATTTTTTTACACCATCAGAAAGTAGAGAGTTCATCGAACAAAAAGCACACCGATTTTTTGAAAAAAGCTGATATTTTGACGCGAGAATTTTCGATTGAAAATTAGGGTGCTTTTTTGATATTAAGTCAAAATAAGGCGAAATAATAAATATTTCAAATCAAATAAATTACAGTGTATTTGGGACATAAAAAGGTAAGTTTTCACCAAACTTCGTGGAAAAAATTTTTTTTTTGAAAAAGATAAAAATAAAAAACCAAAAACTTGTTTTTTTGAATTTTTCACATAAATTTTGAGGTTATGTGAAAAAATTGTAAATACAAAAGTTGTACTTAGATCTTTTTATTACCTACAACTTTGACATTTAACTTTTTTCCATAGGACTTGTAGTTTTGCCGTAAATCGAGATAAACCATTTTTTACCCTTAAAACCCCCCCCTCCCACTTCCCGAACTCAGATCGCCCGTAATTTATTTTTCCTTTAATTTTTATTATATTCCCCTCCTTTTTCAATGGGTTTCATCCTACTGTTATTTTTTTTCTCTTTTTACCATTTTTAAAGGCTTTTGCACTGGTCTATTATGAAAGACTCACAATCATAATAAACATTAAGTCTTGTGAGTATCAATAGGTTCTGTACTCACAATGGAAATATCAAGAATTTCGACATTAGGTACACAGTAAACAAATATTTGTTAATTTTAACCAAATATTAACAAGATTTTATGTTAATTCAGTTCCACATAACTTTATGTTAAGTTTGTAACCAACTGTAATCTGTTAACTAATTGAATAAGTAGTTTGTAATTATAACAGATATTTTATAGATTTAATAACAAAATTCTATGTTAATAATTCAACCATAATTCTTGTAATTTTCTAATTTATGAATGATAAAGTTAAATTACACTTTTAAACTTGGCATAATCTTAATAATATAAAATTAAACGTAGATGGAAAATAATAAAGAAGTTTGTTACCCAATAAAAACTATTTTATAATACAATTTTATTGAATATTTCCTTTACTGGATTTTATAAAGTAATGTTAATAATAAAAATATAATATCCATTAAATATTTTTATGCTGTCCTAGTAAAGGGTGTCTCAATAGAAACGCCGGATTTGATGTTAATTAAATACCTTAAAAATTTTAAAACAATTTTTATTTCGACATAAAGACATCTTCCGATTATGCATGAAAAAAAATACACACCATGAATTTGCTGGCACACCCTCCTTTTTTGATGACTTTTTTATAATATTTTATAATATGTGGTGCTGAATTTCGTCAATAACGCGTCCAATATCGTTTTTAAGTTGATGAATTGTTGCTGGTTTGTTGATCCAAATTCTGCAATTTTGTTTGTTGACATAGCCCTGAGATGAAAGTGCGCTTCATGGCCAAACAATTTTTCCCGGCGCATTGCATGAACTACTGGGATTAGCTCCTGTGTTAATTGAATTTTGTATGGATGCAAATGATCGGCTAGTACGATGAAGTACAGGTATTTTAATGTCACCAAACGAACTACTTTCCTCAAACTTAATCACTAACCTTCGCACTGTCGTCTCATTAGCACGACCAAAAATTGGTCGTAATTTTCGAACAGTTTCTGCATAGCATTCTCCATATTTATAATGAGTCTTAAGAATAGTAACTAGTTGTTTTAGAGAATATCGTTCCATGACTTAAAATAAAATTGTTTTTATACTACAGAAATCATATTTTCAAGTGAAAAAAATAGGAACATTAAATCCTATTGAGACACCCTTTATTATGGAGTCAGTAATAATATATTTTTTTAAGAGTAGGTATAATAATTTTCATTTTATAGCACTCATTACCTACATCATTTTTTTAGGTACCCAGTTTAAATTGTACACCCAGTACACACATACATTAAAATTACATAAGAAGAGTGGTTATATCTATCTTATTTAGCTAGAATTCAGTGTACGTAACTAAAAAATACAAGTTACTGTAGAATAAATTTATGCGAATAACCTATAATATTAAACGTTAAACCTATGACAAAATGTCGCAAATTCGAGAATTTTAATGTTCGTACAGAATTATTAAACGCCGGATATTAAGATAAATAGTACTCGTATATATACAACACGTAATTTTAAAATATTTTACAAATGTAATAAACTTTTTTAGTATGCATTTATGCTCTGTAATGGTAATACAATTTATTGTCATATCCTATAGGATAGGATAATATATTATTGATCTAATGCACATAACTATTATTTAATGTGTTTTTGTTACAATTATGTCCAACGAAGAAATTTTTTTATTTTATTTAATTATTAATTGGCTGCATACCAATAGCGTTAATTTAAATTGTCTGTCAAATTTATATTACCTCTCCACTCATTATGTATGTACGTACTTTTCAGAATAATAAATATAAATCAAATAAATAGGATTCAATACCTATAAATACAGGTAAAGGAATTTTCAATGTATGCTGAAATGCTATTAATTTAATTAATGGTTTGCCATTTGTTATCCTATTTATTTAAAATAAATAATCAATTAATTTTTATAATTTTATGGAAAGGGAATTTTACCAGGTTACTATTTTTTCTGATTATTATTTAACTTTTTTCTTGTCAAACTTTTCATTTATATTGTATTTTCTTTAAATTTTGCATGTTCTGGTTTGAATGAAGAGTCAGAATTACTGAAGCCCTCGTTTTTTATGTTATTATAAAAATGTATATAGATATAGAAATTTATACAGATAGCAATGCAAAAATTATCCATTCAAAAGTTAAAAGATCTTTTAAATACACATTGACCAGTGTCATGGAAACCTGTACAGTAATGGGCGTTTTAAAGGTGGGAGTAGAAAAAATACATTGTTTATAAAAATTGAATTTTTGGCACACAAAACAGTCCACAAAATCTTGGAGTTTTGTGGTCATATTTATAACAAAGTTCATCAAGGAAAAATAATTAATTAATTACTGGTTAAAAATTGCATAAAAAAGTTATACACAAACTACTTAAGTCTATTATATCCAGTTAACACTTATCACTCCCAATAATTCTCAGAATTTTTCTATAATAATTATAATAATTATTATTGTTTATGTAATTAATTTATCAAATAAAAATGGCCGAAATAATGAAATGTAAAAATAAGCTATAAGAAATAAAGTAATTTCAAAACTTTTGGGTTGATTAATGTTGCAGTGTAACCTAATTAATATCTGGATAAAGCGATTTATTTAAATATTCTTTTTAATTTATTATTTTTATTGATTAAATTATGTATATTGTTATTTTTTGTTTAAAAAATTAAATTATTATTTAAATTTGATTTTAAGGCCCAATTTACCCTTTCTTCATTCTTCATTTTATATTATTACCGTAACAGTAATAGGTACATAACTTGTTAAATTTTCTTGTTAAATTAAATATCAACCATTTTAGAGAATGATACTGGCGTTAAATTTGATTTATTTTCCTTAATATCTTTTAAACGAAACAAAATATCTAAAATAATGCCACATATATATTCTAATTTTATTATTAAATTTATACAGAGTCGTATAAAAAAATTGGATTTAAGAAAGCATTAGATAAAAACTACTTATTTTATTAAAATCAAATTTATTTTTTTCAATAAATATAAATGTTACCGGCAATGTAAAAAATTCTGCAATGTGCGAAATGTCTGATGCGATAGTCAATCTGGGGATTAAAGGTTTTTAATTCTTAAATAGACTATAGCCTATAGGCGCAATAGGTACTTTTACTTCTGTCGAACTTCGCTATTCAGTCATCCCTGCAAAAATAAATCAAAGTGACTAGAAGTACACCGGGAATACCGGCATTAAACGTACACCGGGTGAAAAAAATCCTTATTTAGCAAATTTTTATATTTGTCAACTGTATAATATTGAATGGTCGCTCAATAGGGCGGGGTCGGTTGGGTTGGGTTGTTGAGTTTGGGTTGGTTTGAGTAATTCATACTGACATTTCATTAATTTTGTTGTTAATTGTATTTCACTTAATTAAATTTTAATCAATGTTTATACAACTTGAAAGTTAGCTATGTTAAAATGTTTTATTTTACCATATTTTGTTGTACCATTATATAAATAACAAGTGCTTGTAAATTTAATTTTTATTTGTAGTATTTCTTTTCGAAAAGCAAAATTCAGTTTTTCAATTTTACATTGCTATTGTAAATTATTGTTGCGCATACTGCCTAGTCAATGTGAGAAGTAAAAACCTTTAATCCCCAGATTGACTATCGCATCAGACATTTTGCAAATTGCCTAAAATAGCGTAGTAAATTTGCAGATTGCCCAAGATGGTAGTGATTTTGCACAATGTCTGGTAAATTGGTCAGTTTGCAGAGTATCTAGACATTTCGCACATTGTCGGATTTTTCACATTGCCGGTAACATATATATAATAACTAATATTTATAATATTAGTTTTAAATTATCTGGTATTAGCATTTACCTATTTTATTAAAACAGATCGGCAATATTCCCATACCATACTTTTTTAATTAATAGTGCAGTAAAAAACCTAATTCTTGTTCTCAGTAAAAAAAATTGTTAATTTTAATCATATTTTATGTTAAGTTTACAACAAACTGTAATCTGTTAACTTATTGAATAAGTAGTTTGTTATTATAACAAACATTTTGTAGATTTAATAACAAAATCCTATATCAATAATTCAACCATATAAGTATACTTCTGGTAATTTTTAAAAACAAAATTATTTTTATAAACCTTTTTGTAGAGAATTTTGATAAGAAATGTTGCTTTATCAATTTTCTAAACAAAATAATTAACATATATACATAAATGAATACAAAAATGATATACACAAAGTTAAATAACAAACCATTCTGAAATTATAAAACTATAAAGAAATTTGGTAAAATATAATTATCAAAACTGATTTTTATAACAGTGTTGTTATGGTGAACTGGCAAAAATATTTGTAAATGTAAATTTAAAAAAATGTTCTATATTCTTTAGGCACGTATTTGGGCTCGAACCCGAACTTCGGCTCGTCCCGCACACCGTCGGCGACGAACAACAAGAAACGCCCGATTTCGCCCGAACAGGTGCTTCGGCTGTTCGGCACGGGCGCAGGCGGCGGCGGACCGAAGGGCGTCGAGCGACCGCGCAGGTCGCCGGCCAGCAGCCCGCCCTCCACGACGCACCAGAGCAACTATCGGGTGCCGCCGCCACCGCCGCCGAACATACACGAGCTAGCGACGAGGACCGTCACGATGGTCAGAGAGCCGCAGGACGGCACCCACGGCTTCGGCATATGCGTCAAGGGCGGCAAGGAAGCTGGTAATTATAAGAACCCATGCTTATGCTTAATCCAAGCAACAAGTTAGACATTTTTTTTTAATTTTCTGTCCTAATTCTCTTAAGTTTATTAAAAAAAAAGGAATAAACACAAAATGGGATTTTTAAAAAATATTATAGTATATTATGTATTAAGTTTGATAAACGCCATTTTATACACGAATTTAATTTAGGCACGAGCGAGCTTGCGAGCGAGTGCTTAAATTAATGAGTGTATAGAAAAGTTTATAAACGAGGTGCATACTATACTTTTTCTACGACAATATTATCTTAAAATGATTGAAATCAAAAATTTGTATAGAGCGCCATCTATGAAACAACAGGGGAAACTTTCAAATGTCACATTTTTACATTTTATAAACACAATTATAAAGGTTATAAATCGAAATGTATCTTGAAAATTGACAGTTTTTTACAGTGAAAGTAAAGAAAATGTTTTATGAGGACTTTGCAGTAAATTCCGTGCCCGAATTTAAGTTATAGTTTACTGCCGGCGAAATTAAAAGGTCAGTACAATGTTCATATAAACTTTTCAAATATTGGCGTTGAGAAACTATTTAATATTTTAGTATTTTTGTATTGAGATAATAAAATAATTTTCACATTTAGTATTATTTTACAAGAAAGGCACTTTATTTTAACGATTGTATGACATTTGACAACTGTCAACTAACTTAAAACTAACTTCAGCCCGTGACTAAAAACCTGTTGCTAAGTTCAGCCCGTGACTAAAGCGCCGTAAAGCCACAACTTGTCAATTTGTATTAAAAAGGTCACTTAGTGTCATGGAAACATGTACGATAAAGGGCGTTTTAAAGGTGGGAGTATAAAAAAGTATTTATTTGGTTTTAACGCATTGTCTCAGTAAAATATAATTTTCTAAATATTTTGGTAATAGTATATTATGTAAAAAATTTGATAAACGCCATTTTAGTTAGGCACGAGCGAGCTTGCGAGCGACTGTTTAATTAAATGAGTGCTTAGAAAAGTTTATAGACGATTGCATGCTATACTTTTTCTACAACAAATACTTGATATTATCAAAAAAATAATATTTATATAAAGCGACATCTATACGAAAAGTATTAAAAATTCTTACACAGAAAATGTTAAAGGTACAAAAAGTGACAGTTGTATTTGTGACGTTAGAATTTTTACTTGGGAACCTACCGTCGTTAAAATCTCAAATTTTTCTCTATACAGCAAAATGTATCCCTTGAAAATAGACTAACAATCGATATAGAAGCAGTAAAAGAGAAGAGAATGTTTTATGGGCACTGTACGCAAAATTTTTAACGCTTTATCAGTTAAATCTAGTTAACTGCACTACTACGGCGAAATCAAACGGTCAGTACAAACGTTCTTATAATCTTTTAAAATATTGGCCACAAGAAACTATTTAATACTTATGTAAGTTATCGTTTTTAAAGCTCCATTAAAAAATATAATTTATATTAGTAAACTTCTGATTCGGTATTTTATTAAATCAAAAAAATTATTCAATTTATTTTATTGAGAATAAACCGTAAACCATTTAAAATTTTAATATATGTTGTTATATGTTTTTACCTTTTTGTGGTAATAACATTTAAAGGCTTCTGGCATAAGCCACCGATAATAAATATATAATAATTTAAAACTGTATAAATTGACTTCTGATGTGTAAATCAACTAATTTTAAATATTCAAATGTTATTGTCATTTGGCTGAAGAAAAATAAATTACATTGCGTACCGTACACAAAATTTTACGCTTCGTAGTTCTTGTTGTTATTTAGTTTGCTAAAAAATATTAAAATTTTACACCAAAATAACAAAATACGTAGGTTCAGTTTAAGTTTTTTTGGTTTATAATCAATTGGATAAATTTTAACCAATTATTAAAAACTTGAAAAAAATGGCGAATGCGCCGGGATTAATTTTAAAAAAAATTTACATTTAATATTTATAATAATATTTTATGACTTGTTAATTTATTAATTTTATATTTTTAAAAACACTTTTATTACATTTTATAGATCTGAAATATCTTTTTACTGTTTCTGACAATAATTTTACGTCCAAATCAAAATAATTCGGAATATCGCATGAATCATATTTCTTGAAACAATAGTTTTCCTGTCATTTCGGTTAATTCCTGCAACAACTGATATCATATATCACTTTTACCGGTGATATTTCGATTGGTTAAAAACACTATCTAAAAATTGTTCCCATCTATTTTAAAATTTTAATGTATTTTGCAATGCGTGCCTCTCATTACACTGGGGAACACTAATTTTGTTGTCTGAGATCTGACACTTGTTTTTGACTAAAACTTGGCTCCTGAATCCAAAAATGACCTCAGTTTTTTTCTATCACGTCAAATTTTTAAGCTACGGAATACCCTTTCTTTGTTTCAAAAGACTTATAAAATGTGCAATTAAAGGAGAATAAAAAATTAACAAAAATACTATTCGCCAAGAATAATTTTATTTATACAAAGGTTATACACAAGATGTCCCTAAAATGGCGGACCAACGCCATACCCCGCTTTAGAGTCCCAGCGGTGGTCACATTAATATAAGCTGTAGAAAAAAAATTTGACGTGATAGAAAAAAAGTAATAACAGTTTTGAAATCAGCATGCCCTTTTTACTTAAAAACAGCTGAAAATTCAAAAACAACAGAAATTGTGTTAAAAATTGTTCCCCAGTGTTATTGTTGGTTCTGCGTTGCCGCATAAACACGAACACTAAATAAATTTATTTATTTTATCTTTAAATACCTTTTATTTTTTGCATTATATTAATAATGGAAATATGTTTAACAAACCGTATTTAAATTTAGTTAACCGTGCAATAGTATAAATATTAAAACATTTATTCGGTTTATAAATAATAAAGAGGAAAATTCAAATAAACTGTGCAAGTTGATTTTTATTATTTATGTTTGGTTTTATTTATGTTTAACTCACTAAAAAGTGAAGCACAAAAAGACACTTCTCAGCCGCATAGCATACAACATTTTAAATTCAAGGCATAATTTTATTTGTTAAACGGTAAATAAAACGTTTTAATATAATTATGATTATTAAAAGTAGAAAGTGGGGTTGGAGAGACCTAAAAGTAGTCGAATTTTTTTATTGGTCCAACCGGGATTTTTACGAGCGTGGTCACACGCGAGTGGAATCCTCTCCTTGGAAATAAATCTATTTTTACAGCCCAGGCGATAATCAATCACACAAAATATTGTAGCTTAAAAATATTGAATATTGCAACATTAAATTATTGTAAAAATTTTTATTTAATTTTAATACATATCAAGTTTATAAAATTTAAAAGATCCGTTATAGCATACATCTAGAAGTTCGCTTAGAAAAGTTGGGTAGGAATTACAAGTCTACAAAAATGAAATTTGAAAATTGAATAAAATAGCGGTTCTCAAAATTTTTGAAAAAAACTGTAAACCTGTCAAGATTCAAAATCGGTATAACTTAGTTATTCCTTATCTACATTTTTTATAACTTGTTAATCAATATCTAGTAGGCGAAAATTGAATAAAATTGTGTAAAAATGTGTACATTTACATTTTCAACTTTCTTTTCCAAAATTCCAAGTAATTACGAAGTTATAACGATTTTGGGTTTTGACAGGTTTTCAGTTTTTTTCAAATTATTTGAAAACTGTTGATTTTTTTGTAATTACGCAACTTTTCTCTTGTAGCTCTTTACATAAAAAATATACCGACTCTCTAAAAATGAATTAGTGAGTGATTAATTGTCATAGCGAAAAAGCAGCCACCGCTAATTCTCGTCAACAACAATTTGTATCCCGGACATTAAGCAGTTCCTATGTAAAATTTTCCTTTGAATCCAAAAATGTCAAAAGTTATAAAAGTAGAACAGTTTTTAAGATAAAGTAATATAATATGTTTATAAAACTGCTCTACTTTAATAATTTTTGACAGACAAATTGCTGTGGACTGCTTTTTCACTTTGAAAACTATTCATTTTTGACTAATTCATTTTTAGACAGCATACATAGAAGTAGGGATTGCAATCCGAAAAACCGGATCCGGTAATCTTGCGGATCCGGCATCATTAAACGTCGACCGGATCCGGCATGATCCGGCCGGATCCGACCACACGCCATTAGTTTTAAACTGACAGTTTGTCATTTGACTCGCTTGATAGTCAAATTATTTTTGTTGCCTTCACGAGTACGAGAATAATTTCAGTAAATTATATACTTAGAATTAAATTGAGTAACGAATCCTTGCTAATGATGCATATTTCTGATTTTGTTTATAATAACTTTATTATTACACTGATGAAGAATAGTATATTATGTAGCAATTTTTATAAACGGTATTTTAGCTAGGAGTTAAAATAAGCACCAGCGAAGATTGCGAGCGAGTGTTTAATAAAAACGAGTGTCTAGAGAAGTTTATAAACGAGTTACATACCATGCTTTATATACGACGAACACAAAACAGAATTTAAAGCAAATTTAATTTGTTAAAAGATTGACATCTGTCAACTGTCACCCGGGTTTAACCTCACTATTTCCCAGTTTATAATAAATCTAACTTCAGCCCGTGACTAAAAAGCCCAAAAACCACTGTTGATAACTTCAGCCCGTGACTAAACCGCCATAAAGTCACAGGTCGTCAGTAGAGGAGTATATAATAGTATATTAAGTATCAAGTTTTATAAACGCCATTTTAGTTACGAGTTTAATTAAGCACGAGTGAAGCTTGCGAGCGAGTGTTTAATAAAAACGAGTGTCTAGATAAGTTTTATAAACCAGTTGCATACTATACTATATCTACGACAAACATAAAACAGAATTTAAAGCCAATTTTATTTCTTAAAAACTTGACATCTGTCAACTGTCACTCGAATTTAACCTCACTTTTTTCCAATTTATAATAAAGAAAACTTCAGCCCATGACTAAAAAGCTTAAAAGCCACTGTTTCTAACTTCAGCCCGTGACTAAAACGCGATAAATACATTTGTTATATATTTTTTGCCTTAATTTAATTCTAATAAAGGTTTATTGATATTTAGAATTATTAGTAAAAAGTAAGTTTGACATTTACTAAAGATAAAAACAAAAAATTCAATTTAATTATTAACTTTATGTGCTATATCTAGTATACATACACATGTGTGAATCTCTGAGATTTACACATAATACATACTAGATATAGCACATAAAGGTAATAATTAAATTGAATTATAAACATGAATAACTAATTTGGCCGGATCCGACCGGATCTGGCCGGATTGACAGGAATCCGGCCGGATCCGACCGGATTAAAATTGGTACCGGATTGCAATCCCTACATAGAAGGCTACTTGGAACAAAAATTAAGCGTTTTTTATCTTTATCTTTATGACCTTGATATATAAACTATAAATCATTTTAATAAAGTTTTTTTTTCAATCTTAAAATAGTTACCTATATGATAAAATATTAAAAAATCGTCTATCCAAAGCGTTGGGATTAAAACCTTTTAAACTTAAAAGTTCTATTCGATGGAGTTTACAACTTACGACCTATTTTTTAAGCTTACACTTTTTATCTACTCCTTCATAGACGAGCTGTTACTTTATGGCGTTTTAGTCACGGGCTGAAGTTAGCAATAGTGGCTTTAGGGCATTTTAGTCACGGGCTATTATAAATTAGGGAAAAGTGAGGTTAAATCCGTTAAAAGATGAAAGATGTCAAATGTTTAACAATTAAAATTGGCTTTAAATTCTTCTTTGTGTTCGTCGTAGATAAAGTATAGTATGCAACTCGTTTTATAAACTTATTATTAAACAATCGCTTACTAGCTTCGCTTGTGCCTAATAAAACTCGTTACTAAAATTGCGTTTATAAGACTTGATACATAATATAATTTTAATTATTTAATCAGAGCAAAAATATTTATAATTCAAAACCTTTTATAAAAAATTTAAATATACCGGGTGTATAGAATAGGCGCACCCCTGTAACTTTTTTATTTATAAAGATCTATCGATAGACAAATGAAATTTTGCATGATTAATAAGGATATAAAATGCCACTTATAAGAGTACGGAAATGATCTCAACTTTCGATTTTTAAATGGAACGCCCTATATATAAATGCATCATCATAAAGATCAATCTAGAGTGCTTTGAACTACATATTTGAGAAAAACAAATTTTGACAAGTTTAGACTGCTAGGAATAGCTTCTAAGGCAAGTTCCATTTTTCAGGCATTGTGTAAATCCATTAGAAGAAAATTAGATAGTTCACAGCACTCTAGATTGATCTTTATGATGATACATTTTCTGATGACGAAACGTCAAAAGGTCAATTTGAGGATGCTGTCTGACTTAGAATTTCCTCAGGATTCCAAATATGTAAAAATATATATGGCATTCCATTTAAAAATATAAAGTTGGTATCATTTCCGGCGAAACCAGAAGTTCAAAATATTCATTTTGTCCTCTTATAAGTGGCATTTTATATCCTAATTAACCATGCTAGATTTCATGTGTCTATCTTTATAAATAAAAAATTTACAGGGGTGCGCCTATTCTCATATTCACCCGGTATATCTATTTTTTCTATTTTTAAAAAATTAAATTTTTTTTAAAAAAAGTAGTAATTTTAGTATTTTTTAAATCCCATTTAAATTAACGAAGCTTTTTAAAACACTCTTAATATTGTTGTTTAGATATTTTTATATTAAATTATTAACTATTCTGCGAGTTATAATTTTTTAAAACTTTATTCCAACTTTGACCTAATACGAGTATATCTTTTTAATGGCTATGTTTACAGAAAAAATAAAGGATACCTTTTTTGTAGAGCATTTAATTTACTATTAAAATGTGTTTTGGACTTTTGTTAGGGAGACAAATCATTAAAAAAAAAATGTAAAAATGGAAAATTGGGATGATACTATTAAAATTAAGTGCTCATACTAAGTAGGCTTCTTTTGAGGTGCCCAGAAATACATTTTTTGCTATCAAAAGTAAAAAAAAGTAGTAACTTGATTTTTTGAATCATCATTATTTAGATATTACTCGTATTAATTAACAAAATTTTTAATACATAATTAAAGTAAAGTAAGTTAAGTTGCTTAGGTTGTATATCGAGGAGGTTACATTTCTTAGACACTTGTACTTTTACCTAACTTTTTTGCAGGAATAGGCGTGTACATATCCCGAGTGGAAGACGGTAGTGTGGCTGAAAGAGCAGGACTGCGACCTGGAGATTCGATACTTGAAGTAAACGGGACTCCCTTTACCGGCATTTCTCACGAAGAAGCGCTCAAAGTAAGCTCCTCATTGTGTTTCATAAAAATGTCATTTTAATTTTTTACAAGCTTAAGCGTTTTTTAATGCTATATCGCAGTGAAAAAATTATAAAGCCATATGTAAAAAAATTAAAGGAATTGCAGTATTTAAAATACAAAACAATGTTAAATAAAAAATTACAAAAACGTTATATAAAGTTAGTTGTCATTGTCCCCTATAATAAGTCATAAGTCATTGAGTCGATGCTCTAGGACGAAAAGTTTAACAACAAATTTTCTTCCGAAAATTTATATAAATTAAGTGGTGCCAACATACACGAAAAAAATTGTCTATAAGAAAATCCGAAAATTTTCGAAAAAAAATAAGATGTATGTAAATAAAGGGTGGGCCATGTTTATGTTGAATTATAAAATAGCAATGAGAACAAGAAAAACTGATTTTTTTTCAACGAATTTTGCTTTATTTGATACAATGTTTCTTCCGATTAAGTATGAAAAATGATTTTATTTAAGTGGCCACCTCAGCTGGTTCGGCAGTAGCCCATCCTGGAACACCAATTTTCGAGCAGTTTGTCAAAAGTTTGCTGCTCTATTTAGGCAATTTGAGCTTAAATGTTTTGTTTTAAATGGTGAATAGGCTTTGTTACGGCGACGTGTAGATTTTCCGTGGCCCAAATTCTACAGTTTTGCTTGTTGACATAACCTCCGAGGTAAAAATGCGCCTTATCCGAAAAGATGATTTTTCTTGCAAAATTAGGGTCATCGTTCAACTGGTTTAAAGCCCACTCAGCAAAGCGAAAACGTTGTGGATGGTCAACTTGCTTTAACTCCTGAACAAGCTGGACTTTGTACGCAAACATACCGAGGTCTTTGTGCAGAATCATCCTCAGAGTGGTACGGGAAAGGCCGAGTTGTTGACATCTGCGCCGAGTTGATGTTGACGCGTTCATGCGTAGATTTTCGGCCACAGCAGCCATTGCTTCAGGTGTACATCTAGGACGAGCATGCGAAACATGTTTTATGTTCACCAGCATTCCATTTCTGCGCAATTTTTTGATGAAATTTGTAATACTTTGGTTTGACGGCGCCTCATTTCTTCCAAACGCAATTTTCTTGCCGTCTCTGCGATCACAGTCACATTCAAAGTAAGTTTTGAGTATTTCGAAACGTTGATCCAAATTTATTCGGTGCATATTTTGTAATCGGAAGGTTAAAACTAAACCACTGTCAGCAATTCATGGCGCTTAAGTTGAAAGCTTCATTAATAGCACGTAGTTTAAAATTCAACTTATAGATGGCCCACCCTTTATTTTAAAATTTTACAAAATAAAATTAAAAACGTACAAACTCATGTTAACAAATCTGATTTTTATAAACGTGAATACACATTATTTTGTTACATCAGTTTTAGGTTAAGTTCAACTGACATAATAACAATTTAGCTTCATTTTTATACGGAGGATTATAATAATTTGACTTCTGAACTAGTATTAATAATAAATCTTTCTATATGGACTTATATGTGTCTATAGACATATATATATATATATATGTGTCAATGTGAGGAGAAGTGAGTCTTTGTGCTAAGATCAAAAGATTGCAGCTGAGGCGCTTTGCGTGAAGGCAAAGCAATTGAGCAAAGCACCAAAAGATCTTCCTTCTGAATGAAAATGTAATATTTAAAAGAAGTTAAAAACCTCGGCCATTCACACCATTTCGTGTATTCTAGCCATTTGTTTCTAAATATTTTTTTAATTGGACTATCAAAGCAGGTTTGTCGTGGTCAACCCAACTTTTTAAGTATCCCAACAGAAAAAGTCAGGTTGAGTCAAATTAGGATTTTGTGAAATGCAACGACATTTTGTTGAAACCATGTCCTGTTGTTGTATGCTTTAGAATCTCGTATTTTTTTAAAAGAAAAAATCAATCAAGATTGTTGTGCAAATGTCAAAATTCCGAGCTGGGGATTTAGGATTACGTCGCACAAAAGCTTAAACTTCCTTATTTCGGTTTTTATTAACCTTGAACGTCCTATGGGATTCTGATTAAGTGGAACCTGTAGCGTCAAATTTTCTCCAATTTGACTCAATGCGATATAAACTGTGTATGAATCGCCATTTTTGTAAACATGTTTTACACAGAAAAACAAAATTTTGAAATGATTTTAACTTCATTTCTTTATATAATAATTTGATCTTAATCTTTTATAAAAGCAAAAGTGTATTTTGTTGATATATCAAAAATCCTATATCGATATCAATATATATCGAAAGAAATATTAGATATTTGATATTAACACAAAATATTTATTTCCATTAAAATTTTTAATCAACGCTATTACTAAACCTGTGATTAAATTACAAAAAAATACGGTATAATATAAATGTTTGATTGAAAAATATAAAGTTTTTTACACCGATATATTTATAGTATATTACACTACAAGGGCAGAAAGTGTGAGATTCCTGCACTGCACTGCGCCGAGGGCATCATGGCGCGCAGTTCAGGGCTCTCACACTTTCTGCCTTTGTAGTGTATACTATTTTTCTTGCTACCCGGCCGAAAATACGGGACAAAATTAAATTTATTTTATAATAATTTAAGGTTATTTAAGTACTTATTGTACCAATGCATCAAACGTAAACTTTCTGCCGTGGAATCAGGGACGAAACAACGTATTTTCAGTCGAGGTAGTAAGAAAAAAATATATCGCTCCCTTTTCCGATAAATCAAAAAATATATATCGATATGTTCTTAAATATACCAATATATCGTTGCCATCCCTAGGTATCTACATCATACACTGAGAGAATTGGTCATTTCACACAAGTACAATTAATTAATCCAAATTTAATTATTTCAACAACATGGAATTTAAATCGAAAGAAAATACTTTTGTTGAAAAAATTGATTGGGCTTTTGTTGAGTCTACTATGAGAAGCGTTTGCAAAATAACCATAAAGGCGTTGCATGTGACGAACACATGAATAAGTAAAAAGGTTAATACGAAAAAATGCCAAAGTCGACGCTAAATATAATTATAATATTATGATTATAATAATTATTCCTTTAATTTTAATTCAATATGAATAGTCTACCGGGTCGCAAAAAAACATATTCGGTGCTGTATTAACATAACTTTCGTTTTATTTGACACTTCGATTTATAAAATTATAATTTTGTAATTTAACTTTATATATTTATACATCATTCTATATTTTGTAATTGGATATTTTTAATGGACTCCTTTTTGCAAAACGACAGTATATTTAACGTTTACGTTTATTTTCTTAAATCAATTTAATTTAATTTAATTTTTTTTTTGTAAGTATATTTGTTTTTAATTAAAATAATGATAAGTTGTTAATTGCTACTTTTTTCAAATGTGTATATTTCCCAAAAAAAATAACAATTTTTCCCAAAAAAGGCCTTGGAAAAAAACGGAAAAAAAGGTTTTCGCCAATTTTTCCGTTTTTTTTCCGACACTTTAAACCCTAGTCCCGAGTGCATTTTTTTTTCCTAAAAATAAAAAAAACCTTCAGCGATGCGCTTTTAATCTCTTCTATGGATGAGATAAAAAGTGCATCACTAAGAACTAAAAGCTATCCAAGGATTGAGAACTACAATTGTTTTGGAAATTGGCAAAAGTGTTGTAATAAGATTTTTAAGATAAATAATAGATTCCCTAAAATTCCCTTTAAACTTTGTTCCATATCACATTTTCAATTTTTAGAAGGTTATTAATTTTTTTGGACAGTTTTCAGAAAACAAACCTTTTTTGTATTATAATAATAATAACCTTATATGGTTATGGTATTATAATACAATTTTATGTATGACTACAGCAAACGGAAGTAATAAAAAGTTTATTTTAAAAAAAATTAATTTTAAACTAGACAAATTGGAAGTAATAAAAAGGTTTATTAAAAAAAATTAATTTTAAACTAGACAAATTGCCCAGTAAAAAGACGAAATTAACTATGTAAAACAGACGGAATCATTTTTTACACCGAACAAAAAGTCCTGAATATTAGCTTGCTCAATATACTATAGTATACGGTCTGAACATGAATACAAATGAGCGATTTTTCTCCCATTTTCTTTCGACGTTTTTCTGCGATTTTCACCATCTTTCACGGAGAATTTTGATTAGGTCCGCCTACATCTCCATGACGGATTATACGTGACGTCACTTCTTATTGAGTTCCAACGAATCTCATTATACCAGCAATACTATTAGATGAGGGTGAATGATATAAAGGATGACTTTGATGAATATTGTAAAAATATATATAAACCGTGAACGTAAAATTTAGTGTTTTATTCAGTAGGTCCAATATAAAAGTTTCCAGAGCGCAATCTTACAAAATAGATAAAAAGTTTTTATTATTATTTGTTATCTAAATAAAAATGGTTAGTTAAATTTTTACGATATATTTGGAAATTGTAAATTTTAGTATGGTTAATACTTTTAACAACTTTTGCACTGATTATAACCAACTACTTATTTTTGACATGTCCGAAATTAGAAACAAAACAAATTTTATAACTTAAATTTTATTTCAGACATTTGGAATGCTAGTTTTTTAAACCCAACACTTTTTGATATGCATGGATTAAAAGGTCACATTTAGAAAAATACAAAGTAGGTGATGTGCCGTATCATTTGCAAGCTGATTATGTGTAACTACTTATTTTTTGCCAAAGAATATTCTTTAATGAGACTAAGATAGAGTACATTTTAAAACTTCCAAATTAAGTCATTACAAAAACAACACGTTTTTAATTAAAATCTAAAACCCTGGAAAGAATTTAAAAGGTAGGGTAAGGATAAGCTTACAAAGACCGCCTTTTTTTTACGCCAAAAATAAAGGGAAAACTTTTACGCGCTTACTGTATAATGAAATTTATTTATTTATTTTATATTGAGTTAAGTAACTCCAAAGGTTAACTAACGTTAGGACAGTGGCGGCTGGTGGATTTTGGGTATACCGATATCTCAATTATTAGATATGAGAC